GGCCAGGAAGGCGGCTGAGCCGTATATGCGCATGCTGCAGCTGTGGATACAGAAGGGCATCATTGTGGATAGCACGCATGAGTTTCTGGTCGAGGATAACGAGGTCATACACAAGGATGAGCTGCCCGAGCATTATTCCGATGACTATTGGGAGAAACGCTACACAGTGCGCACCGAATGTATACCCACATTCCTGGAGAAGTACGCGGACAAAATATTGCGCACCGGCAAATATCTGAACGTGATCCGACAGTGCGGCAAGCGTGTGATGCCCACACAGCAAATGAATCTCGAATTTGATCCGACCAGTGAGCTGCATGTGCATGTCATAAATGATGCCTACTATTTTGCGGCCCGGATGCTGCTCGATGTGCTGCTCACCGAGAACGATCTGATGGGGCATCTGCAGTCGGTGAAGCGTTATTTGTTGCTGAATCAGGGTGATTTTACCATGCAATTCATGGATGCCTGCGAGGATGAGCTGGCCAAGAATGTCGATCTGGTGCTGCCCATGACGCTGGAGAATCTCTTAGGCCTGACGCTGCGCCTATCCTCCGCACGCAGCGATCCCTACAAGGATGATCTACACTGCGAGCTGCTCACCTACGATCTGGTCACACAAATGTCCAAGATCATGAACCAAAAGGAGGGTAAGCAAATTGACAAGATAAGATGAGCATGGTTTAACTCTGAGATTTGGCTTGCAGAATACTGGAAGACCACGGATCGCCTCGACTTGAGTGGCCTGGAGTGCTTTGCCTTTACCTACGAGGTCAAGTGGCCCGTTTCGCTGGTGCTCAATCACATTGCCATTACCAAATACCAGATGCTCTTCCGCCAGCTCTTCTACTGCAAGCACGTCGAGCGTCAGCTGTGCAAGTGAGTGTGGCTGCCCTTAACACCCCATATATGCGATGCACATTAATCGAAATCCCTTGCAGAATATGGAAGGAGAACTCGATTGCCAAGAAGTTCTCACCGCATGCCGCTGAGCTGTATCGTTCGGCGTTTACGCTGCGCCAGCGCATGATGAACGCGGTGCAGAATCTCGAATACTATATGATGATCGAGATAATTGAGCCCAATTGGCATATTTTCATTGAGAAAATGAAGAATGTGGAGAACGTGGACATGGTGCTCAGCTTGCATCAGGACTTTCTAGATCTCTGTCTCAAGAATTGCATGCTAACCGAAACGTCGCATCTGAATCGTGCCATATTCAAATTATGCAAGATCTGTCTCAAGTTCTGCGAGTTCATACAGGTGCGTCCAGGGGTCTATCAATATAAACCTATATATATATATATATCGATTTGGATTGAGCTTGAATTATTGTAAATGCGCCTCCACTTGTCTTGTGTCTTGTTTCCTCGTTTCTCTCTCCTCTCTCTCTCTCTCTCTCTCTCTCTCTCGTCCATGCCTGCGCCTTTGCCCTTTTCCTCAAAATATTAGCGTTCGCAACGTTTCTTTCTCGACGCGGAGCTCAAGTCCATGGTCTGTGATAGCAGTGATGAGAATACGGATCTGTCCGACTCTGAGCCAGATATATCGGATCGCCGGCAGGTATACCACACACACGGCCACACACACATACATGGTTATATTTGTTCTTTGTTTTTATTACCATTAAAACCATCATCATTTAGCCAGACCCTTTGCATGCACCTAGTCCAGCCATTTAAGCCCAATTCATGTGGACATTTATTTAATGTACAAATCAATTATTAACTTTACTGAATTCATTAATGATTTTTGCTAATTCCTTGATTGATTGTCTCCCCCTTCGCATACATGTAGTCGGAGAGCACTTTGGATGAGACGGATACGTTTGCGGAGCGCGTGAAGCGTTTCGATCTGGAGTTTACGGGCATGCTGATATCGTTCCTTAAGCAAATCAATGATCTGGCCAAGGATAATACCGCCGATCGTTTCATGAATCTCGTCCATAGAATCAATTTCAATGGCTTCTACTCCGAACAAATGGAAAAGCTGTGCGTCAAGAATGCCATGGGCTAGTTCTGCAAAAACTAATATCAAAACAAATGAAGAAGAACAAAACAAGAAAAAAAGACAAGCAAACCGAGTATTAAATCAGACAAAACTAAAGTAATTATCAACCAAATTGGCATGCATCCCATAGATATATATACTATATGTATATATACATGTATATATACATATATATATGTGAATCCATCATCATTCCCAGCTTCGCAGTTAATTGTTGCTGAGCGTCATAATGCACCTGGTAATAACTTCTCCATTTAGTTCGTAACGTATTTAATAATAAAGTAAAATGTTTTTCCTTTTTTTTTCCAAAAAAAAAAAAATAATATTACGGTTCTTGTTTGAATCAATACGTTGAGATATGCATCAGGACAGCTCTACTCAACGGCAATGGAACCGAGTGTGTCAAAGGACTCGTTCCCAAAAGCGTAGAGTACGGCTGTGCCTGTTTCCAGTTGTGACTGTACCATGTATGTATGTGTTATCGGTTATCGGCTATCGTTGATCGATAACACGCGTTTTGAGTATCGCATCTAATAAGGAAACCCCACCCTCACTGCCATAGTTATCGTCCGCATATGACAGAGGAGAATCGAGTTCCAGCTTAGATGCCACATCGCGTTATCATCCAAGACTCATCTGTCTCCGGCTCTGGCTCTGTTTCCGGCTCTGGCTGTGGCTGTTGTGCAATTACTCGTAACATGCTGTCACTGATGTGCCAAATAAAAATCAACGTACATTTTCTTACGAGTAGTACCTACTATTTGACACTTCAGGAACGGCTAGTCACCAGATGCGCTTATCGTTATCGTTATCGCTTAAGTTATCGTTATTGTTATCGTTATCGCTGTGTCTGCATCTGAGCCAAAAGGCCCTTTCAGACTGTTATCTATGACTAGTCAAAAAATGCACATAGCAGTCGAAAAGGGCCTTTCGCTTCATATGCCACATGGCACTCCAAATTTGTAAGGTTAGCTTTTATTTAGCATAGACTCTTGGTTTTTAATGTTGGACTCGGACTGTGGACTCTTGGCTGCTAAAGTGCCTTATTTTTGCATATGCGCACGCAATATTAACACAACATATTGAAAATATCGGCCACATTAGCAACTAAGTGCCCAACAAGTCGGTAACCTCATCAAACACGATTTTCCAATCCTTTACAGCACTGGCGCCGTTTTCCAACATTGTTATTAAACTGTACTACAACTGCACATATGATTTCTAGCCTCTTGAGGAGAAGTCTTTAAGCAAGAACCGGCTCAATCTGGAAATTCAAATTGTTATTTGACATGAGCCGTACCTGAACAAGTTGGACAAAGAACAGCCAAACCCTTTACTAGGCCGAACCATATTTTCTTCAAGAAATGGTTTGTTCTAAATGCATATATCTCAAGCTAACAATTGTCTGAGCTCTGCAACTTCTGCATAATTAAGTAAAACATACCCAACTTGCCAATCATCAATCATCAGTCAGTCATCAATCAATTAATTATCTTTTATTTGTTTAATACTAATCAATTAATTCATTTACTTACAGCATTTCGTATGCTTCACAATACTGACAGCATGCCCCACAATTTTCCTAACAGCGCTGTTGTAAGGAGCTAATTGCAGCCAGTTATCGTTAGCCTCACAATTTCCTTTACAACACTGTAAAGATCTGCAGCTAGTTCTATTCGTAACTTACGCACACTGGACAAACAACTTAATTGGCCTACAGCTGCAACAGTTAGCGTTCGCTCGGCCTTCGTGGCATTTACCAACACTGAATGCATAACCAACGGTACCGCGTGCCATCGCTTAGCCTTAATGCAGATCACAGCCAACCAATTTACATACACAACTTTATTTTCACGCTAACAACAACAACAACGACCAAAATTGATGGCTTTGTTTTTGGCGCAGCTGTCTGCTGTTCAAGCCGCCCCTTCCCCTCCCGCATCCCCATTTGGCCACCCCTCCTTGCCCCTGGCTGTCTTCTGTGTGTGTGTGTCGGTTGGTCTCGTGCGAAAATGTGCCAATTTTAATTTGCCATGGATTTTCATCATGTTCCGCAGTTTTTGCACGGCCATCGGCCACAACTGGCCGTTAAGGGGCCCAGACGAAAGGACAACGACCCACACACACACACTCACACACACACACACTTACACTCACACTCACTCCCACACACACACACACACACATGCACGCACAAAAGCCAATTTGGCTTGCATATTCATAAGTACATAGGCACGCGGGTTGATCAATAAGTTATCGGTTCAAGTGTCATCACTAGCAATTAGGCAAGATTAATCGTTATCGATAAAGTGTTGTGTTATTGCAAGTGGAATTCTTCTAAATTAAACTAGAATTTGGGAATTTTGAGTGGACATCAGACGGACTTACGGCTGAAGGGCGTTTAAGTAGGTTTAAGTTGTGATATTTCAAGGTTGTGTTGAGTTTGCTTGCTAAAAATATCGATAGCTATCGATAGCATCGATATAATTATTTGAGACACGGTTGTTTGAATATAACTCGAAAACTATACGAGTTATAAGAGAGCTGTAAATGTTCGTATAGCTTATACAATTTAAACTATTTGATAACTTTCTCCAACTTATCCCTGAAATTGGAAAAAAAGCACATTTTGGGGGGGCAGGCATAGATGCGGCACATGGGCAGGATATTTCCTTCTGGTATATATATTTATACATATATAATTTTTATACATGTTCCAAATAACATATTACTTATCGAACGGCCCCGCTTGACTTGACTGGCTGTCCATGTGCATATATATATATAGATATATATATGCTTATATATGTTATATGTTTACCATTAGCCGACGTAGTTGTGGCATCGCCTCTGTCCGCCCCGCCCCGCCCCCGCTGCCGCCCCCGCTGAACCAGCCCCGCTGGCTCCACATGCAATTGGCAATTTAAGCTCGCATGAATTATCGACAATCAATTATGGTTTCTGGCCATGGCGTTGGCTTGGACACGGACATGGACATGGACATGGTCCTGGATGCGGATGCGGCCAGCTTGTGCAGCAAGAGAGGTAGCCAGTGAGGGGAGGGGCAGCGACTGTGTGTGTGTGTGTGTGTGTATGTTAATTAATCAAAAGCCCATCTATCTATCGATTGGGCATTTACTGACAGACATATGCAAATTAAAAGCATACAAGCAGCTCATTAATGTGCACTTGAAAGGCCCAGCAACAATGATGATGATGATGATGATGATGATGATGATGATGCTGCTGCTGATGATGATGATGATGATGACAACGAAATGCCATCAGGTTTAAAAAGCCAGCTTCATCTTGCATTTGAAGTCCATTTGGCATTTCATTATTTGAGCCAAAATATTTTTGGAGAATTTGCCATAAAAAAAACTTGACTAAAATTCTTGTCTAATAATAGATGGACAATAGGTTGGCAACAAGTGTGGAGCTAATTTTTGTCAAGTTTTTCTCAGTTCTCTTTATTCAGTTCCAGTTATTGAAGGAGATAATTATCCAGCTTCTGCGCTAGCTGCTCGAGAGTCGAGAGTCTGTAAAGTCGAGAGTCTTCAAGTTTTGTTAGCAAACAAGTTTTAGGGGTGAGTAAAACATTTTTTGAACCATTTCTTAAACCAATTTTTTAACTTCTTGTTAAATAACTTTTTAAAGAAATTTCAAACCACTTTTTAAACCACTTTTTGAACCTCTTTCAAACCACTTTTTAAACCATTTCTTAAACCACATTTAAAACCGCTTTCAAACCACGTTTTAAACCTCTTTTAACCACTTTTTAAAACCACTTTCAAACTTCTTTTTAAACCACTTTTTTAACCTCTTTCAAAACACTTTTTAAACCAATTTTTAAACCACTTTTTAAAATCACTTTCAAACTACTTTTTAAATCTCTTTCAAACCACTTTTTAAACCATTTTAAAACCACATTTAAAACCGCTTTCAAACCCCTTTTTAAACCACTTTTTGAGTCACTTTTTAAAACCACTTTCAAACTACTTTTTAAATCTCTGTCAAACCACTTTTTAAACCATTTCTTAAACCACATTTAAAACCGCTTTTAAACTACTTTTTAAACCACTTTTTGAACATCTTTCAAACCACATTTAAAACCACTTTTTGAGTCACTTATAAAAACCTTTTTCAAATTACTTTTAAAACCTCTTTCAAACCACTTTTTAAAGCGTTTTTTAACCACTTTTCAAATCACTTTCTTTAACAATTTTCGCGCACAATTTTGCAGTCGTTGCCGATGTCTCAGTCTCGATAACGTGAATATCTCGTCGGTTATCGAATGCTCGTACGATGAGATGTCCGCGCAATCGCAACTGGGCTGGGCCAGTGGAAACACAATTTCTTCATCCTGTTCCGGTTCCCGTTCCCGTTTCTGTTCCCGTTCCTGTTGTTGTTGTTGTTGTTGTTGCTGGTACAGCGCATCGGCATCGATGAGAACTAATCCAATGTGAAATGCTCATTGGAGATGCTATCATCAATCGCGAGGGGCTGCACCAAAGAACGCACTACAACGGGCGATAATTAATTTCGATAACGATAACACTTGACTGCGGGCTGATTGCGGCTACGTGGTTTGTGATTGCAGACACCCCATACATCTTGTATTTCAATAAGTGGCACACATACTGGATATAGGGAGTATCTAAAATCAAAGACCATATCGAATTCATGATCAGGCCCAAAAACACGAAAGCCGATTTATCGATACAAATCGAAACGATTCGCATCGAAAGTTGCTCGAGAATTATTGCCTTTGAGTTGGAACGCGAGACTCACTGTTATCGTTTTCTACATAACAGTTGAGTGTCGTGATTCCAAATCAACAGCAATTGTGAACTAATCGATTGGCTGCTAGCTTTATCGATAGGTTTATCGATAGGTCTATCGATAAGTGGGCCTGCTAAGTAAGTTAGCTGCATAACTTTCTCTAGTGTGTGCGTCTAGCTAGCGGGTATTGCCCGGCCTTGCCCGAGTCAAGTTATTTCATGTTTAATTTTCCACGCATTTTCCACCTGTTTGGAAATCAATCAGGTGGATCATCAATCAGTCAATCAGTCAATCAATCAACAGCTCTTTAAATAAAGATAATACGGTATGATAAACCGGAAATCTGTCGTGCTAGGCATATAAAAACACACACACACACACACACACACACACTCCAACACACAATGAGCTGTAAATAATAATAATAGTGGGCGTTACTTGGCAAGCAGCTAGAGAGATGCCCAAACATGAATATATATTCAATTAGACGCACCATACAAAATTGGCTGAAATCCGCCCCCCCCGCCACGCCCCTCTAGCTAGCTAGTAGAGCCCTGCCCCACCTCCACCTGCCGCCCACCGTCAGACAACAAACACGTGCGTCTGGACAATAGGCGAGATGGGGAGATCTGTGTGCGTGTGAGGCAAGCGGAATACAACAAACAATTCATTTAGCTTGGCACACGACTAACAATGGGCGGCTAACAGCCACGCCCACTACAACCTCCGCCCCACACTCCCCTCTCCACACACTCCCCTCCACTCCCTCCACACTCCACATGCGTGTTAAAAGGTAACATTTAATTGAACAATGAAATATGAAATTGCAATAACAAAAAAATTTGCAGTCGAAAATCAAATAAATTAAAGCTTCACATAGCTGAGTCTGCTCGACTGCAAGTTTACCCTGTAATCAGGTGTAATTTCCATTTCTTTTCAATTTTCAATTGAAAGTGCCAAAATGTTTCTCAGCTGTTACCCGGCGTTGCCCAGTCCAAGTATTTCAATTATTTCGCTCCGTTGCAAACTTAAAATTAAACTTAAATAACTTATTTCCATGAATTTTCCGCATTCGCGTGTGGAATTGGCCAAGCTTTGCCTTAAATCGCATGAAGTAGACACAGTGCAAAAGTTGAACTTTCTTGCTGTAAGGCTTGAAGGCGGTACTTGAATTAATCAATCAATCAATCAGTCAGACCATTTATATATATAAAATTTGATGGAACTTAAAACCCCCTCGATTTATTTAGACTTCATTTCATGCCTTTAACAGCTTTCAGCTTTTGCAACTAGAAAACTGAATGTAAACCTTAAGTTTGGGCTATTAGAGAGAGAGAGAGAGATATAGTTAAAGACTAAGATTTGAGATCAGGAGTTTAAGAATTGCTCCAGTAAAATCCAAGTTGTTCAACAGATTGTTGTCAAAACTAATGGAAATAATAATCGGGCTAAAATATATGTTAATGAAAAACGTACATACATTTAAAAATAATCTTAAGGTATATTTGAAACTGAGTTTGAACTGGTAAGCGTGTGGTCGTTGGCTCAAATCGCAAGAAAATTTTCCATTTTCATTTGTACAAATATGTAAATTCTAGTAAAAGCCCCGAAAAGTGAAACTAAACCGAAAAGAAATAGTTTGGGCTGTAAAAAGAAGTCGAAGATCCGCCTGGTTGGAGTCTGGGTTAGGGTATAAGGAGGACGGGCAACAAATGCGTTGATTACTTTTCTTAAATTTATAGATTGTGAAAAACAAGGCGTGACCTACATACACACACATGCACACACGCACACACGCACAACAAACAAACGCAATGAAAATTGGCAAAGGCTTTGCGGAACTGTTGAGCGGAGGGTAGGGGAGGATAGGAAGGGGAGGGGCGCGGCATGCCTGTGCGTTTTCATGAGGCGTTCAATTAGGTAGCTTCAGCTGACAAAATTAACACACGCACAACCACACACACACGCAGGCAGGCACGTGGCCTGGTTTTTGACTTCTTTTGACTCGCTTCCAGTTGTTGCTGCTTCTCCGGCTACTCCGGCTGCTCCGGCGTCTGCTCCGGCTGTTGTTGCGCAAAGTGGAGGCACGTGTCTCAATCAATTGGCCAACAACAGCGCCGTAAAACGGCCAAAAAAAAAAACGGCTGAAGTTTGGCCAAGTGAGCGTCAACCGGCCCGGCCAAAGGGTAAGGGTAAATGCGACGCCTGCGACGGATGTGGATGCGGATGCGCCTGGCTGCGGCTATTGATGACACCTGCCCACCTGCCCACCTTCGCACCTGTCCATCTGTCCACCTGTCCACCTGTCCACCTTCGCACCTGCCATAACAATGGCCTCCAACTCTGACCTGGTTTCGAAGCGTTTGTGTCCTGAATTCATGCTGGATATCAGATCTTTCGATTGGAGACGCACAAATATAAAGTACATAAATATATCTTTAATGGTTCGGTTCACGCTGCAAGTCAATGCCACGCCTTGGGCTACGCTTTGTGAACCTGGATATAGGATATATAAGACATATAAGATATATCAGATAAATCAGATATATCAGATATATCAGATATATCAGATATATGAGATATATGGTATACAAGAAAAATGTTGCCAGATTTAGATGCCAAACTTCTGTGTGTTTGTGTGTGTGTGTGAGTGTATGTATGTATGTTTGTATGTATGTATGTATGTATGTGTGTATGTATGTATGTATGTATGCATTTATGTATATATGTACGCATACATTTTTGATTTCTGATACAAAATGCAGACCAACCTTATTTTTCGCTGTGCTGCAAATTTAAATAAAACGAATTTATACCAAGTGCTCTTCTCCTCGATTCTCAAGAATTCAAGTAGGCTCTGCAGTTTTTCATGCCCAGCTAGTAGTGTGCAGCTTTTTTTTTGGTGGTTTTTTTTTTGGTGGTTTTTTTTTTGGTGTTTTTTTTGGTGGTTTTTTTTGGTGGTTTTTTTTTGGTGGTTTTTTTTTTGGTGGTTATTTTTTTGGTGGTTTTTTTTTGGTGGTTTTTTTTTGGTGTTTTTTTTTGGTGTTTTTTTTTGGTGTATATGTATGTATGTACATATGTATGTATGTACATATGTACATATGTACATATGTATGTATGTACATATGTATGTATGTACATATATACATATGTATGTATGTACATATATACATATGTATGTATGTACATATATACATGTGTATGTATGTACATATATACATATGTATGTATGTACATATGTATGTATGTACATATGTATGTAT